CCCTAATTATATTAGTCCGATACAACTCATAGTTAATGGATCCGGATTTACAGAAATTTACAGCTATTCTCAAATTTTGGAGACAAATTAAAATTTACTCGTTACCCGAAAATCTTTTCGGTTTCGCCTTCTAAATTATCTAACTCTGGAAACTAACGTCGCTATCTCCAAACCTTTAGTCCGGTGATAGTGATGTAACTTTCAGATAGATGATTCACGGGACGAACCCGAAAAGATTTCATGAACAAGTTTTTAATTTGTCCCAGAATTTATCGTTATGAGAACAGTTATGAGTTTTTACGACAGTGTTTGGTCAATTTCTCATCGCTGATTGGCTGTTAATCATAAACTTACTAGGTACTACATCCGTTTTCATAAACTCTGGGACACCTAACAATTTGCTTGTCTTCCGAAATCTCTTCGATCTTGTTCAAAGAATCACTCAACTTTTCGGAAACCACTTCGCCGTCTCTGTATCGCTTCTGAAAGTTAGGTGATTCTTGAAAGAGATCGAAGAGGTTCGGGAAACGAGAAAATTTTCAGGTGCTCCAAAATTTATGAAAAAACAGCTGTAACGATTAATTTTAGCTTCGAACAATGTAATGCATTTTATAGTTTAACAAATTTCAGTAAATCAGGTTTCATGCAATTCTGGTCAGCGGGATGAAATGTTAAATAAATTGTAAATCCCACCAACATAATCCATTAAGGTGATGCATATGTTTTTTTTTATTTGTATTTTTATTTATATTTTTTTATTATATAATAAAAATATCATCCCAGTAACATTATTTTTATAAAATAAATCCATCTGGGATGTTCTATAGAATGGGTGGGCAAACTCCGCAAACTCTCAACTCCACTATTAAAAATTAATGATTACTAATCATTAGCAAAGCTTATTTCTTCTATTCTATAGAATATCCAAAAAGGATTTAAATTAAAGTATAAAAATAAAAAAATATTATAATTTTAAAAAATATATAATGATAAAGAATTAGAAATTATTAATAAAGAGCATATAGATATCACTACTGAGAAAGAGTTAGATATTATTAATAAGAAAAGAAATATATAATAATCTTGCTAAAATTATAAAGTCAATAGCAAAAATCTTTTATAAGAGAAAATATATACAAAAGAAAGCCTATATATTTATTTGATAAATGTAAGAATTATTTTTTACAAAGTCTTTTATTATATTTTAAACAATTTAAAAATCTTGTCAAAAACGTCGTAGAGTAATTTATAACAATTCTTCGGCAACAAAAAACCAACTACCATGTATAAATAATACAGAAAAAGATACAATTTTGTTTATAAGGAAGCTCTGGTGATATTAAGGCAAAATAAGGTATAGTTATTACTAAAATTTTGAAGTGAATTTTTTTTATTAAAACACAAAGGATGGTTTCATAAATAAAATTACAAGTTATCGACAAAAAATTAGTTATTTTTATGTTACGTACACCGGATCTTGTGATTTAATTGGTGGCGAAAAGTTGCGTAATCTATTTTATTCAATCAAAGATTATATTTTCATACCAGTCAGAAATGTGGGGAGAATTAGACGTTTTACACACATCATCATCATATAAGTACCATACGATTACACAATAAGGATAGTAAACTGTCTTTCAGTTAAACATAATAAAAGGGCCTTGATATTTTACTTTACTTTTCCTATATGCTAAATAAAGTTTTGCATCTTGATCTAAAACATCTGATCCGATAAATTTGACTTCTTTTAATCTACGATGAGTCTCTAATTCTTTGATATGTTCTCTTTTAAATTCTTTATTACTGATATCTAATTGTTCAAGGTTTTGAAACTTATGCATTACCGATATTAAGTCCTGTGCATTAAAATAAGGATAAATATTATATATATATATATAAAAATATATACGCCATTTATGACATTTTTCGCGTACAGTAAATATTGTACACACTCATCCCTCGTCCTCGTTGATAGTGTTCCGTACGGACTGATATCCAGAATTCTGCGGTGCATAAATATGCTCGCTCTAAAAATATTTTTTTGTATTGTCTCAGTAAGATAAACGTGACTTCTATAATTTTTAAAACCAAATACAATACAAAAAATGTTTTTAGATCGAGCAGATTTATGCACCGCAGAATTCTGGACACTAATCAGATCCGAGTCTAGTATGGAATCCCGACATCCAAAATCTCGACAGGCCACAATACTGACATCAAGAGTCGTGACGATTAAAATTTAAAGTATGACAATGATCGTTAAGAGTAGCATTGTCATTGGGGTATTTCATATACTAATTAATCAAACATATGCGAGGTATTATAGTAAAAATCA